ATTAAACTATTTTGAGACCAAATTTTGGACGTCTAATCCTCTATTAAACTCGCATGAGCGAAAAAATATTAAAAAAATATTTTCAATAAAATAAAATGATCAAAATACCTCTGAAATTTTTAAAGGGGTATTTTAGTCATTATATTTTATAGAAATTTTTTTTTTCATAGGTGCACCCTAATGAGAAGATGGCACATACGAAATTTCATATTCATACAAACTGTATAAAAAAACTAAAAATAAAATACTTTGAGACGTCGAATCTAAGATCAAACGATGAGTGGCTCTCTTGATCAAAATTGGACGGCTGGATGGTATGGGAAGAATAGATCTTCTATGCTGTATGAGAAGTATATAAACCTCTCTACATTAGTTTTTTAATGATAATACTATATGTTTTTTAATGTGATTCAACATTATTGAAATTCAATTATTTGTTTTTAGAGATACTTGAATATCTTTTAGTTTTTAATTATAAATTTTGAATTATTAAAAATTATTAAAAACTAATATATTGTGATCCCATCTCCTCTAACTTTTTCTTACTATTTTTCATTTTCATTATGTCCCTCTTGATTCTTCTCCTTAAAATAATGTTGAAAGTCTTATAGTCACATTTAGTCTTCTTTTATGATCAATATTTTATCATAATTATTTATTCTGTTCATGCTTTTTAAATAAAATTTATACTTCTTAAGTTAATGCAATAGAAAAAACACAACTTATTGAAAATGGTCATCCCTCATTAATAAGCATTCATTTTTTATTAAGCATAATTTATCTCTCTCACATTCAAGTCATTATTTCCCATGCGTAACAAAAAGCTCCCAACCCAATAAAAAATATACATATTTTTGTTTATAATAATTTCTCATGTCTATTTTTAATGGAAAATATGTAGGTTAAAGAAAGAAATATGTGTTAATCTCACCTCTCACCCCTAAATCTTTCACTCACTCTTTCTTTCCTTATCTCTCGCAGTCTCTTTTTTATTAAATCTCTTTCCCCTTTCTTATTCTTGGTTAATATATATAAATTCTTATCACTCTTTTGTTTATTATAAAGTTAATGCTTCTTGAGTATGCCTTAATGGACTAAAATATTAGATGTAGATATTGATAGGATTTAATGTCTCAAACTAATATATTAGATATTAGAATTTATAAGAACCTACATAAATTTATTTATTAGTCTTATTTATTTAATTTAAACTATTTATTTAAGTCATCTTCATTATTTTAATTGTATATTAAATGGATCCATGCTAATTAATAACATATTAAAAATAATTCTTACTATTATATTTATTATTAATTAATAAAATATTCAATTGTGAAGATAAATACATTAAATTCCCTCTCAGTAATATATCATATTTTATTGAAATTTTTTCAAAGATGAATATATTTCAATGATTACTATTGAATATCGCGTGCAACGCATGTGCATATTACTAATTTAATATTAATCACTAAAACATACTTATCATTGAAAAATATTTTCAATAAAACATTATCTTAAAGATCATTGAATTTATCCTCAGAGTTGAATAACTTTATGAAATAAATATGATTTTTTAAAATCATGCAAGAAATAAATAATTTAGATATATTATTTGTGATAAAATATGATTATAGGGAGACCAAAAATTTTAAATGCTATTTTAAATAATGGAATCAAGATTGATATAAGCAAATGAAAAATAGTTGGAGAAAGCTAGAGGAGATGAGATCAAAATTCATAATTAAAATTACTCAAATATCTCTTAAAAAATTTAATTCTTATATATACTTCATCACATATTTTTTGCTAAAAATATAATATTATAATTACAAAAGAAATTTACTGTTCAAATAGTCATAAAAATTTAAAATATAAAAATTATAATCAAAATATATAGAAAATGAAAAATTGAGATGGAAATAAATTGATACATTATTTAACATAAAAATCAAGAAGAAAAATAACCATTTTTTTTCGCATTCATGATCAATGGGTCATACTTAATAAGATAAAAGTAACTTATAAAATAAAAATAAAAGCAAAAACATTACTTCCCAATAGAGAGACCAAAAGAGAAAAATCAATTTGAAAAATAGCAAGAGAAAGCTAGAAAAAGGAGTAACATAAATAAATAAGTTATATACAATTAAAATAAAGTGGTAGTAGCAGGAGCAGCAGTAAGAGGAGGAGGAGCAGCAGTAGCAGTAGAAGTTGTTGTAGTAGTAGTAGTTGTTGCTATTGTTAATATTAATATTAATGTTAATATAAATAATACAAACAAAATAAAGTCATAATTTCGTTTCTATCTTAATTTTGGCCTTTGTATATTTTAACTATAATTTTTATATTTTAAAATTTATTATGATTATTTTAACATTACATTAGTTTTTAATGACGATACTATTTTTTAAAATGTAATTCAACATATATAAAATGTGATTCTTTGTTTTTTCAAATACTTGAATATCTTTTATTTTTTAATTATGAATTTTGAATTATTAAAAATTATTCATAACTGATATGTTGTAACTTTTCTTACTAT